GCGGCTTTCTTACACAATCACTTTCATTTTTCGGTTAAATCCACTGTCCAATGGAAAAAAGCAGGCGGTGGGCTCTCTTTATTTTTAAAACAAATTCGGGGCTTTGTTAGCAGTCAGCCGCAAATCGATAAAGTTCTCCGACTCCTAGGCCGAAATGTTTTATTTTTATTTTCCAGCGAACGTGTGTGTGTGTGTGAGAGGCTGCCTGATTGGATTTTACATCCTGCAGGATGTTCGCACACACAAACGCACTGGGTATCTATGTGTATTTCACTTATGGTGGTGACAGTTTTGCTGCGGTCTCGTTTCTCGCTGTCTTTGACTTTCAATTAGTGCAACGCGGCGTATGAACAATTTTAAGCCTACAGCCTGCATTTTGCATTTTAATTAATGCCATGTTTGCGCAGTCTGTGCCGCACTTAATTATGACTTTAAATTGATTGAGTGCTTCAAAACAAAGGCATTTAACCTCACTTAGATAGGCAAACAAAACCAAACAGCACGACAAAGTGTATCGAGGTAATTTGTATTTCAAAACTGAACTGCTTGTTTAGGCTATTGATGGCAGTCCACATTATTGCAAATCAAATAGTTAGAAAGTTAGTTAGGAAAGCGATACACATTTATATTCTATGCGCTTTTTGTTTGCTTTCATTCGGGTTTTCCTTGATTTAAGCACTTATTTTTAGAAGCAGATCCAAGTATTTATAATGATTTGATTATTGCTGTTAACAGAAACGAATTGACTAAATCAAAGTAGCTGCCCTTGTCGGCATCATTCCACCGCCACTTTTCTTTTTGGCCACTTCTGCCGCTTTTGTTATGATTTCGCTGTTTAGTTATACACTCGTATATGCGTATATTATTTATTTTATTTGCACAGATAAAAAGCTGCCCACCGCCAAACGGGCCAAAATTTATCTTGAATTTTCTTAGCGCACGTTTGTTTACCCCGAACTATGTCCGTATATAAGACCTATATCTATGCACATGGGTTTGTTATTTTTACACATTTCTGTTTGTTGCTCGACAGTCGTTGCCAGGCGTTTAGCGCGTGTTTCCGAAAAACATCCCAAGATTGGGAAGCTGTGGCAGGTGCGCCATAGCGACTGCCACTTCACCCGGTCCGCCGATCTCGGATCTCGGAATCGCAGCCAAACAATTATGACTGGCCTTTCTCAGATACTGTTTGCTTTCCTTGCTATTTTCCCATCCCTATGCCCCTTTAATAGTTTGGGGGAAAACAATTTGCCAAAAACGCTGGCAAGTAACAACAGAATTTAAGTCGCGCGAATCGGACAGATTCTTTCTTCCAGTTCAAATCTAAACTATAATAAGTCCAGTAATAAAAATACTATAATTATTGTACTCTCCCCTGGAGTCCCCAAATAATATATTTTTCGGCTCAGTACCTAAATACTTTGATTCGCCCAACTGATTCGGATATTTTTATAGGCTTAGGATGGAACATTAAGCCGCAAGAGTAAGGGTATTTGCAAATGTTCAGCATGAGCTGGCCGAGAAAATTTGCATACGTTCGAGGAAATTCGAGGGCTTTTTGAGCAGCTGTTCGCCAAGTGGCATTCCCATCACTTTTGACCAGATGCTGTTGGTTCGGTTTTTTCTCTTTAAAAACACTGAAAACTTTGCGCCTTTCTGTGGCTAAGAGGGTGTGTGTATTTACACCCACTGCAAGGACTCGTTGACATTTTGTGGCGTTGACAAAATGCCAGAAATATTTCCCATTTTCCTTGCCTCCTCTGCATTTTGTCCTAATACTTTCATTTCATTCACTCAAAAAGCCAACCTAATTCAATTTTTGCAAATGAATGCACACAACGGGGGAAATGGGGAAAATGGGGAGAATGGGGTGTTGTTAGAGCAACGCTTAGATTTCAAACTAATTTAATTTAGTAGTCTCGCCTCTCAAACTCAAAGTAAGCTTGGCAACTTTTGCTTACTTCCCTGATGCTATCAAAGTAAAGGGATTAACACTTTTAGGATATATATTTTTAATGAACTTCCAATTAAAATGGGTTTCTACCAAACCGCAAGGGATTCAAAAACTGTTTTAATCCCGCCTGCTGGACTTAAAACTAGCTTTCAAACTTTGTGCACTAGATCAAAATAAAAGCGGGGTAGCTTCAAATGGAAAACGCATTGAAAATGTGAATCCTTTGTTCGGTTCAGTTGGGTCAACTAAGCGGTTTCGAGCGACCACAGTTGCTAATGTTTGTGTTGTTCGTATGCTGTTTTAATTGCTTCCGGCTGCAAATTGGATTAGATTAGGCCAAACTGGTCCTTGCCAAGGGGTTGGGTCCCTTATGGAAATGGCCAGGATACCAGTGACAACTGGTGCATACATCGGAAAGGGCACACTGCACTCGCTTTCTCTGTTTGCGAGCCACCCAACTGGCACTCAAATTAAATTGCAATGCATCGACTCGATAATTATAATGACCAAAACATGTCGTGTCTACATCAGGCGCAACTGAAAAAAAGCAATATAAAACCCACAAAACAACCAACCAACCGCATAGCTAAGCTAATGCGGTGGAGCCACAACACTATCGCGTTGAAATAAATATTAAAATGCAATAGATAAGCGTGAAATAAATGTCCCTAGCTCGGGTGAGTCGGCCAATCTAAGAACGAAGCACGGGTTGGTGGTAACTATCAGATACCCTTTATGGTGAGCGGCCGAAGATGTGGCTGGGAGTAATGGGTATGGAAAATCCAATCCAAAAAATACGAGATACAAAATTCAGTAAAATAATATTACATAGACAGATAGTATGCCCTTTTTTAGCATAAATAGTGAGTGCTAAGAAAACCCTTCAACGAAATAGAAATAAATGTGTATTTGCAACATACTCGTATAGTTACACATTTCTAAGCAATTCCAGATATTCTGGCCACGACACGGTGCGATCGCCGTGCAGTTGACAGCAGTACTCGAGGGGTTTTTTGGGGCAACGAATCGTCTAAATGGGGGGAATGTAACTGCTACTCAAGTGACTAAAGGCGTGAAAAAGGTCAAAGGCAGCGGTGGCGGAAAAGTGGGTGGAAGGGTGGCATATTCGCCTGCGGCTGCTGCAGACATTTTCATCTTCAGCTCATTTTTTCCCCTCTTTGCCCTCGCAAAAATGCTAAAAAGGGTTCCCCCACCGCTCGCTTGTGTAGTTTTTGGCAGCAGAAACAGCTTTTTATCATTTTTATTTGCATTACTCGGATTGTTGTTTCACTTTTTGTTTCTAGCTATTTATATAAGCCAGGTCTTTGTTTACACCCGTTTTCGGGACAGTTTAAGGCCTAAACAAGAGGCTGACATTTATGTAATCTTCCTTTTTAGGTATTGTTTAAATGTTTGGGACATTAGCGGGCACCATTGTTTTTTTATTTTTGATTGGGCGGAGTGTGTTGAGTATCTTTATCTTTGAAGTAGTTGTTCTTATCACTGTGATAATGGGCAATTTTTAAACACTCGGTTTTCTTCATACAATTTATGGACGTTGCGTATTGCGCTCCTCTTAGGGGGTACACTCAAAGAAAAGTAGACTATAGCTGCAGCTTCAGAGTTTTAGTGAAGAAGAGATTGCTGCTGCTGCGTTTGGCTTTTTTTTGGCCGGGCGGCGCGCATCTGCAGGCAGCAGGCGATGGAAAATCCGAGAGGAAAACTGAGGAAAACCCGAGCAGCCCGGCGGTGAGTGAACGAACCTCTTGGCTGAAACTCTGCGGAGCAACTGGAGCACGCGAATCCACGAATTCACGAATCCAACGAACGCACCATTCGCAACATTCGCAATGCTAACTGCCTTAACCCACTACCCTCACAGGGGGTTCAAATTGGCGAAAAGAAAACCAGAAAGCTTTCCACGGAAACTCAGAGAGCGCTGCTGCCCGAGCTTTCACTCTCTCAGGTTGTTATTGTTGGGGTCTGTGCGTTTTCAGATGGGCGGGAATTTCGTTTCAGCTAATTATTTAAATGAATTCCGACTTTTTAAAGGGACCTAAATCATTTTTTGTATTTATCAGAGTGGGCATACATATTTCTCTAAATAAACAACAAGTATAATCCGTACTCCAAACGATTGCTAATCATTCTTAACATTACGTTTTGAATGATGTATCTGCTTTGTAGAATTGGCGCTTTGAATCAGTTCTCAGCCATAAAATATAGTTAGAAAGAAATAAACACGGACAGAAGTTTCAGAGTGATGGACGGATCCTGGAGCCGCATATAAGCGGCACAAAGCGAAGCCCTTAACCCCGGTAACCTCGTCCACATAAGACAAACGGTTATGTCGGTCGTAAAGTCGCTCGAAATCCGCGCATCCTAGCTTTAGTGGCGAAATCTGGTGGGTTTCTGCCGAAATGCTGCCCGTTGACAGTTGAAAGACGCTCGCAGACAGAGCTAACTATAAAGAAGTGTCACATAAAATTTACATTAACCAAATGTAACGAAACAGCGCTAAAAGCAGTCATATATAACCAGCACACACTCGACCTACAAGATACAGACAACTGCTGCTGCGAACTAGGAGCTGTCGACGAGCAGCGGTCTCGAAGAGTTTCACGCACCAGCGAGGAAAATCTCATTAAGCCCTGCTATGAATTTTAAACATGTTGCAGGACCCGAACCGAACCGATCCGGTCCGAGTCGTGGCAAGCGGGAAAACTAGTTCAGCTGGCCAATGGCAGCGGAATCCACGACTCTGGCGTGGAGAGATAGATGTGCTGGATGGGGATTAGGGTGCAAGCTGCTTCCATGTGAGGTAGGACTACGCGCAAAGTTCCGTCTGGAGCTTTAAGCTACCTGGACAATAGGGGGAAACCCGCTGAGAAGAGCTATGTAGCCACAATAATGGGAACACTCTGAGCTTTTAGGTATTAACAGGAGTAACTTTTATACTAATATTGTAATGGTTCTAAAAACATTCCGGAATCTTGCCACTTAAGATAGTTCAAAGCACAAAAGGCCGCATTATGGGCGAACTTACCTTATTATCACTATCTGTGGTATTACCCGATCCGAAGCTAGCCAGCGAACAGCGATCATGATCGTTTTCCGTGAGCTGTTCATCCAAGTCCCGCGAGGATCTCTGCGAGGAGCCCGAGTGTTTAGCTGGAGACTTGGGCAAAGTTAACGAGGTGCCCGAGAAGCAAGTCTCCTGCATGACTTCGCGCAGCTTCTTAACCCAGATCTGTGAATTATAGAAACGTATTAAAGCAAAGTAACTATGTATCGATGGGCTACTAACCTGCTTGGTCTCCAAGCTCGTTGCCTTCAGCACGATCCTGCAATCCGAGAGCATGGGTGAACGACCCGTCCACACGGCAAACTTGGTCTCATCGCCTTCGATGTGCTCCGTGATGCCCATGTCGGTGGTCATGAGTTTGCTTTTGAACTGATACTTGACCACGTTGGACTCCTTTACCTCCTTGGCAAACAGGAGGTACAACTCAAATAAGAAGACTCGGCGCTCTCTGCCCTTACGGATGATTTGCTTGGTGTCCCAGGCTTGGAAGGCATCCTGCAGCACAACTTCGCCCAGTTTGTCTACGGAGACATCACAGTTTTCCAGCAGCGAAAGATGCATGGCATCGTTGGCCTTCTTGGGGACATTGAGCATCACCTCGAGGCCTTCTTTGATTTCGCCGTGGCTCTCCTCGCAGCAGGAAAGGAGATCCTTAAGTAACAGCTGGTATTTGGTGATCCGCTGCACGGGTTTAATGAGATAGGCGGGCAGGGGATGATCCACCTCCAGGCGCCGCTGTAGTTCTTCAAAGAAACTGCCGCCGTGCTGGACCAGCAAATTATTCGATGTGGGCTTGTTCTTGCAGTAATGCACATACATATCGAACTTGGAGGCCCAGGTCACAAAGCAATGGCCCACATCCTCAGGCCTTGTTTCGTATTTCTCCAGCTCTCGCAGGAAAATCTTCTGATGGAAGTGGTGTATTTCCCTGATGTTGCCGAATATCACATCTTCCTGACCAATGAGGGCAGGAGGTACATTTTTTCCCACTCGGAATTCCTCAAGGAAACACTTGATGCAAGTGGCCAGATCATTAACATACGCCCTCTCCGTTTGCATGAGTTCAGCCATGATGAACTCTTTCCTCCTCGCTGACTTGCGCTTCTCCTCGTTTATCTCCTTGTTCTCCTTATTGCTGCTGTTCAGCTTGGCTTCCAGCGTGGGATCCGAATGACGATCTCCAGAGGAGGAACTGATCGAACTATTTCCATCGGAGCCCAGAAGCAACTGCTGCTGGGACATGCCCAAAGACTTCTCCAACTGCTCGCAGTAGCTGTCCATGCGGTTGCTGAAGTCCTTGTACCGCTGATCCACGGACGCCACCCATTGCTTGATATCGCTGGCATGGGCATGACCCTTCTCCACCAAACTATCAGCTAGTTGGATCAGAAGTTTGACCCTTTCGCGAGTCTCCTTAGCAGTGCTTCGGAATTCATTATGCTCTTTAAGCAAGCCTTCTGTTTCCTCCTTGCTTATGCCCACCAGATTGGATCTAGAGGAGAGATACGCTTCTCCGGTGTTGTGAATCCATTCGATCGCCTGTTTGGCACTTCTTTCAAAGAGAACGAACTGCTGACACTGATCCAGGGATTTCTTGCGCAGCGTCCAGTAATCCAGAACTTGATTTTCCTGAGTCAATAGCTTATCCAGTTTGCTCTTCACATGGCCTTCGCAGTTTCCTTTATACTGATAGCACTGCTGCGATCGGTTAGCGTACTTTAGAAAAGTCTCCGCCGTGCGACGCGCCAAGGTACAGGCCTTCAGGAAAGCCTCCTTCTGCTCCTGATGTTTGGAGATCAACTGGACAATGGCTTGAGCTTTGTCGCTGCCTCCACCACCGTCACACCAGTCGTCCTCGCGTTTGTACTCCCGCTCTAAACTGTCCAGCACCGAGCACACCTGCTCGGCTGTCTTGTAGAAGTTTATCGAGGCGGTCACCAGTTTGTGCCGCTCCTCCGCGTAGGTCACCAGCTGCTGCCACTTCTTCGTCACATCGTCGCTGATTTCATCGATGGATAGCGGGTCGTAATGGTTGGCATTGATGAGGGCGTCTGCTCGGTACTTAACCTGCACCGCCGATGTGTGCGTCTTCTCGATGGCGATCTGCAGGAAGGAAATATATTAATAATCGTACAACTATTTGGAGTTTTATTCAGTGTAACCTGGAACTGCTCATGACCCTTGCGTAGCTGCTCGGCCTCCTGCAAACTGTTGGGCGTAACGAAGCTAGCCACCAGCATGGCTTCTCCATTGCGGATCCACGATATAACCTGGTTGGCATCGTTCTGGAATTGACATAGCTGCACCGCTTGCTCAAGCTTGGCCCGCTTAGCCTCGGACATCTCCTCCAGATCGATCTCCCGTTCCCGCAAGAAGTCCAGCAGATATTCAATCCTAGCCTGAGCCGTGTGCGTGGCATCCGCCATGGAGATGAAGCCAGCGTTCTCAAAGAGCTGCAGCAGGTCCTGACCCTGCTGCACGACCTCGTAGGTGGCGTTCTGTATTTCCGTCACCGATTCGTTGTGCATGCGAATAAGTTGTTCGGCCTTTTGGTAGTCCCTGGAGAGGTCAGCGTGCTGGAGCTCTTCAGACCATATCTCCATTTGCACGGACAGCAATCTGGCATCACGCTCAAAGTAGCGCAAACGCAGTATGAGATCGGCGCGAAACTTGCGGGCGGACCAGAGCTCCTCCAACTCCACTTTCTGTTTGTTCAACTTCTCCAGGGTAGCCTCGAGAGCGGCAATGGAACCCGTATTGTCGGCATACTCCAGGGATCGCATTTCCTGCAGCAGAGCTTCACCCTGAGAGATGGTTGTAAGGCAGACATTGACGGAGCTCTCCTGCTGATCCCTCTGGTATTGCTGCAATATGCGTTCAATGCCCTCGAGGTTCTCCTGCGAAAGACGCGTTTCATCCGTGCTCACATCGGTTCGAAGTTTGTCTATCCAGGCGGTCACGTCCTTTTCATGGGTGTAGAATATTACAGCCATATCCAAGCGGCGTCTCCTTTGCTCCACTCGCTCCGCAAAGCTGCCCACTTGAAGTTCCAATTCCCTGGCCACAGAGTATATCTCATTGGGATCGGCTTCGCCACTTCTAGCCAATTCGTCCGCAGCTGCCAGGAGTTTTTGGGCGTTACTATAAGTGTTCTGTGCAACGTTCTCAAAGTTATCGTGCGAGGTCTGATAAACGCGGGCCTTGTGGAAGTTTCTGCCTATACCCGTATTTTTCCTAAGGAAAACTTCGCCATGATTTTTCAGCCAGTCCAAGACCTGCTTCACATCTTCTTGGAAGAGTCTAAGAGCCAGGGTCTGATGCAATCGTAGCCTTTCCTGATGCCATTTGGCCTCTAGGGTGCGGTGGTGACTCAGGATCTGATGAATCACAGCCAATACATGACTGGCGCCTTCGCTGTAATCCGCTGCAGGATTCTGTCTCTCGTACTTGTTAAAACTGCCGCCGTTGCTGTTCTTTCGGTGATCGGGGACACCAGGCGGCGGAGGTTGATTGCAGACCTGCACCAAGTGGTCCAGCTGATAGAGAAGCTTCTTGCTCGTGGAGTGAACCTCGGTGTACGCTTGGCACATAGCCTCATACAGGGATTGATGCGTTCGGATGGCCGTTTCCAAGCTCTGGATATCCGAGGGTAGAGGCTGCGAGGCCTGACATGCGGCTGCCCAGCTGGCCACGCTGTTGCAGTACTGTTCTGCCTTGTGGTGGAATAGGACACTCAGCTGCAGGACAGCTGTTCTCTCATCCAAGCCCGCGGCAAAGTCCTTCCAAGTTCGATCCAAGCGTTGAGCCAGCGTTTTAATGTGCTGCGCCGCATAATGCTGACTTTCGATCAGCCGAGCTGCCACGGCCAAAATCCTATCGATATTCACGGACACATTCATGGATGCAACGGCGAACTTCTGGTGCTCATCCTGCAGAGACTTGGCCACCGAGTAATTGTGCCCAATCTCCACGTAGCTCATCTGGAACACATCGCGGTTGTGCAAGATCCAGTCGAACATCTTCTCGCAGTCCTGTTCGAACAGGCGCCACTGGAAGCACTGGTCCAGCTTCACCTTCTTGTGCTGCCACAGCATCAGCAATTTCTCCTGCCCGGTGTGGATGAGTTCGATCTGCCGCAGGGCTTTGTTCACGGCGGCGGACATGTCCGGATTGCCGCCCACCGAACGGGTTTGCTGCGACGGCTGGGACTGCTGTCCGGCGGAGGAGGGGCCCGAGTCCATATCCGATCCTCCAGAATTTGCGGGGGCCTGTAAGAATAATCAATAATAATCAAAAAATTCGCACTAAGGGGTTTTGATAAATTACATGGAACACATGTTTCACATTCACTTGCAATACTCCAGTTCAAGATCATCTTTTAAATAATATATTTATAAACAGTTTTCGACGGGAAATGTAACAGTTTTTTCGATTGTTGTGCAATTAATGTTTGAATAATTTATTTGGATTGATTTTTTACGAGCCTCAATGAAAAGCGCATTTGCATGTGAAATAAATAATACCACAAATGTAATACATGTAAATTTCTTCTACTCAGATAACAGGCAAAACAACACATTTCCATAAAAATAAACTGAATCGTTTTCAATGGAGTTTTTTTTTTTTTTTAGCATACAATCTGGCAAGTGAATGCTAGACAAAGGTTATTGACTTTTTCTGTTAAATATGTGAATGTTTAATACAAAATCTCGCAACACCATTTTATTTGTTTACTCATTAGATTTACGTATTATTCATTATATATTTTATTATTATGATGCCAGGTAAGCAACACACTTAAGGATTCAACACTAAGCGAAAAAACACTCTTCGATTGATGTGCGATTTCTTGAGAGGAATCCCTTACTCGAATGCTCACCTGACCGCCTGGCGGGGCCATCGCGTTGATCTTGGCCAGCAGCTTCTTGCCCTGCATGTCGAGGTCCTCGATGGGCAGCTTGGTGATCTTCTTGCGCATCTCGTTGTGGTGATCGATGGCGTGCCTGGCCAGCGGCACGTCCTCGGCAAAGTCGTTGCGGTTGAGGTCCTCCTGCAGATCGTCGATCCGATCGGCCATGTCCCCGGCCTGCCAGAAGAAGTCCTCGATGGCCAGCCGGGCGTCCGTCCACTGCTGATGATCGTACAGCTGCTGGCCCTCAAAGTCACCGGTCAGCTGGTGGCTCTCGGCGATTTTGTTGAGGGATTCAATCGACACCGTCGTCGTCTCGAACTTGTACTTGTGCGAGGAGATCGAGGCTCGCTGCTTCTGCCAGAAGTTGTCCGGCTTGATGATCACCACGTTGTGGATATTCGCGCTGAAGTGCTCCTGCAGCACCTTCAGTATCGTCTTCACGTTGGTCGAGCAGTTGCCATTGCCTCGCATGTCAATGATGACTGTGAATCCGAGGTTCTTGGCGGCGTCGCTGGAAATAAGCCAGGTGAAAGGTGTGTTCGGTTAGAGAGAGCGATCGAAAGAGAACTGGGAGATAATGGGGATACACTGGGGAAAGTTACTGCCTTGTTTGGTAGATACCACTAACTCTACTAACACATATCCCTCCACTTATCCAGTAAACATTCTATATTAAGTTATGAGGGGTCGTGCTGCACTTTGGACTCATCTTCCTCACTGAGCACACAGAGCAGCTTAGGATTGCACTTGGTACAAGTAAATGCCTGACTGGTGGCCAGTGTTTTTTTCGAGTGTAGTGCCTTCCCAGAAGTACGTGAGTGAGAGTGTCGCGGATCGCTCATGGTTCGTTGCTCTGTTTACGTCGCTTGCATAAATTAAGACGGCACGGCTGCTTCTTTGGCCTGAGGTCGGTTTCTATTGCTCTGACACCAATTTTAGCTAATAATTTCCTGCACACCTCGGCCTCCTCCGAGAGCCGCCCAACGCTCTGATTTGCATTCCTTTTGAATTTTAATCGCTCCATTAACTATAAATATTTCTCTCATTGATGTGTACGCAACTCCGCCTCCATCGATTCCGCCTATAATTCCTATTATTCCCTCTGTTTGCCGCTATTTCTTGACCCGATTGTGGCCAAGAAATCGTTCTGAATCGTTCTGAGTTCCCGGTTTCAACCACGTTATCTTCTCGTGTTTATACATATGTCGTGCGGTTGGGCTTGATGGGCATTTCTAGGGTTTTGCCCCCGAAGAACAATGCAAAAGTGAAGAGGCGTCTCTTCGAATGCATTTTAAGTTCGAGTGAGTGCGAGTTTGCCTCCAACACGAAGCACTTTGAGAACCCAGAACTTTGAGAACACCGGTGTTGCCAACGGTTGAACCCCATAAAAGTTCCCAAACCCTCCCGCAAGCTCTTATCGTGCAACATATCTAGAAATTTGGTGTATTTTTCTGGAGGGGCATGGGCAACTTTTTGATGACTAATAAACTCCTCGAAACGGGCTATTAAAAATCGAAATTTAAGCCCAGACAGAGGGACAGGAGGAAAAGTGTCGCCCGCATTTCAAAGTCGACCAAAAGAAAGCAAACACAAGGTCCAATCAAAAATCGTTTATTTAACCCATAAATCCGGGGTTTTTTTCAGGCGCGGATGACATCGAAATGCCGCCCAAAAGGAAGTTCAGGGAATGTACGTGTCTAAAATGCTGAGAACTCCCCCGATTCACTCGATTCACGGAATTTGCATTGACGACAGCGGCAAGAAGACGCCTTGATTTCAGTTGCCAATTTGGCCGAGTCTCGGAACAGAGGGACAAAGGAACAAACAGGCGCAGAAATAAACAAAAAGTGTTTCACGCCACAGCAAATAAACAAAAACCCGCGCGAAGCATAAACAGAAGGGGAAATGATTGGAATCGACGCGGTGAGTACCCTAGAAAGTGAAGATAGAAGTTCATTTTTAAATCGCAATACAACGAATGAACTGAAAACGGGTCAACCTACATATCCTGGGCATAGTTTCTTTTAAACCAGTGGTCACCAGTGGCTCCCCGCCGGAACTATAGTCCAAGGAAGGGTGTGGGTAGGGTCCAAACCAAGTCAGCAGAAGTGAGCAGACAAAGCGCACAGTGGGCAGACTGCCAGTGGATGGCGGCGATGAGATAAGGGAACCCCAATGTACCCAGTAAACCAGTACCATTTGGTATATTTGGAGCACGGAGCATGGAGTATGGACTACGACGTCGATTTGCTTATCGGGCGAACCTGAAGTGTCTGCCCCGGCTCCATTACTCGTGTTATTCCTCGTTTTCCGGGCGGGGGATCCGGTGAAATGTGGGACACCGATAGCACAATGCTGTGCTTGTTAGCCGGCTGATAGCTGATAACAGCCGAATGGAATGATGCGGCGTGGGAACTCGGCTGGCAGTGATTCATGGCTGGCGAAGACTGGCGAGCTGCAACATCTACAATCTGCCTATGATTGCGCCAATGAGCCTGACTAAATAAGCGAGGAATGATGGGGGTATGTCAGAGTTCCTCAGATTTTCTCGGCGGCAGATACTATTTCTAGTTCTCATCAGATACTCTTGTCGTGTGTCGCAATCTGGGGTCGCCATCGCCATCGCCATCGCCATCGCCATCATCTTCAACTCGAGGGTCTGATTATCATTTCGAGTCTGTTGCCGCTGGCAGCCATCTCGATGGCAGTTTCTGGGCATTCTCTAGTCCGGACTGCAAGTCCATTAGCTGGTTGATTAATTTGGCTCGAGGGATGGCACTTTGAAATAGACATTTTCCTTAAGCTAGCTAAAACTATTGTTCAAGTGCAATCTCATTAGGCAAACAATGGATTCGGGCTACCACTTTTACTTCAACCGCACAGAGTGCTATTAGTCTCCGCATGTCAGTGTTAGCGAGGCAGCACTGTTCCTCCAAATTACCCTTTCTTTTCTTTCCTCTCGTTTTATGGCTCATTTCGGTTTTTGTTGTGGTTTTTTTAGTGTTTGGCGCAGCAGCAAAAAATATTCGCATTCTTTGAGCTCGGGTCTTGAAGACTTTGGAAGCCGGTCCCCGGTTTTGTCCATATGTATACATGTATGTGTTTGTATCTGTGTGCTCTTCTGCTGTTTCTGCGCGGTTCTCGCCGCTTTCTTCGCCGCACAGATTTATGCAACTTTTGTTGCTGCTAGTTTTTATTGGAGAACGTTTACTTTTATGACTTTTTTAGCCCGCTCTGGCCCTCTGGCGCTCTGTGCCACCCATTTTGACCCGCACTCCGGCGACTCAATGTCAACAGCAGCCAGCTGAGAAAGAGAGGGGCATACTCGGCGAGAAAGAGAGGGCGCGCCGAGAACAATGTGCGTGCTGTTCTTGCAATCGTCGGTCGATGATGATTCATAAAAATGCGACTGCAGGCGGACGACGACTATAACAGGAAAATCAAGTGGAATGTGGCACTGCAGCTGCAGCAGCTGCTTCCCCCGCACCCCCACCCCTGCATCCTCCCCCTATTCAGAATATATATACGATATATAGGTGCGGGTGAGGCGACGACGTCGCGACTCTACCGAAATTGCAAACGAAGCGCAGCCAGCGATGTCGCGACGTCAGCTGACACAATGGGTTGCCTTTGTACTGGTACAGTGGGCCCCAGTAACGTGAAACGGCAGCTGCGTGGCGCACCGAGTTTCCGGAATTTAACAGGCTCATTTCCAGCTTTCAACAGGACCTACTGCTTTCAACAGGACCTACTACTTTCAGCCTACTGACAACAAATTCAAGTTTACAAGCCGAAAAAGTGAGGGGTTGCTTGAAACGAGAGTTCCCTGTGCTGCAAATACAAAATGCAGGAGGCCGGAGAAGTGAGGACTTGTGCCGCCAAAGGCAACATGGCAGTGTAAATATCTAGGAACTTGACGTTTTCAATTCATCTAAATTGTAACTAAAGCTGGCAGTCATGCAATGCGCCTAAAGCATCCACTTTAAGTGAACTAAACTGAGCTGGTCGTTTTTTTAAAGAATACGTGATCGAATACAAAATAAATCTATATATGTCAGCTGAAGAATGTAAAATTTAATTAGGTGCACGATGATTTGGGTGAGTCATTAAAAGTGCCAAGAATTTTCTATACTTTATTCAGAGCTCGTAAATCAAAACGTCCATAAGGATGAAAATGCCTATGCTACAAATTGTGACAACTTGCTTGTGATGAAATCAAGAAAGGCCACATATTTACATACTTTTACGTAATAAATATAACTATGTTCTAGAGTCCGCTTATTCTGCAATTTTTAACTCTAATCGTGGCTAGTGCTTATCGAACAAAAAGTTCACATAATAATGTGAATACATGTATTAATAGTTAACTGCAGTTCCCGCTTTATTTTATCGCTTTATATTTTTAACTACTGTATGTTAAGACCACATGGAATGGTTATCATCACATTCCTGATTCAAGAGCAGTACAAAATATTCATGTACTTGTATATTTACACTTTAACTTGGTGTGACAACCTTGGACCAGATCCAATTAGGATAACTACTGGAATTGATCTCTCACCTGGGAATGCTGATCAGGTAGCTGAGGAGTCGCCGCAGATCCTCCGGCTTGAGGCGGTCGCGACGGGGCGTGGCCGGGAAGCAGAGGAGCGGTCCGCCGCGCCGGTCCCGTCCGCCCGTGAGGAAGACGACCCGTTCCTGGAGGAGGGTCAGGAGGTCCCTGGCCCGCTGGCCATCCATGGCGACAGAGGGGGGGTGGGGGGAGGGTGTTAGTGCGGCCGGGGGTTAATCACTGGGGGCGGGGGGTTCAACCTGGGGTCTCCGCCCGCTTTTTAATCCGACGATGGGCACTGCAGCATAACGAATTCCAGCCTCGAATTTCACTTGGTTCAGCTCTGGTATTAGTTATTACTATGAGCCGCTGCTTTTGCTCATTGATTTTCGCGAATTTCTCGCTGGCATTTTCATGGTCACTCTTTTGCTGTTGTGTTTGTTGCGGTTTTTCGTGTGTTTGCCCGTGTGTGTGGGTGGAAAATGAGTGGGAAGGCAGAGATGCGGATTAGCAATGGGTATTTCGCTTGGTTTTCTATATGCTGCACATAATTTGCACACAATTTGTGTAGTTCTCCTATTTTTAGATGGAAGGAGTGGAGTTTTTTTCTTCAGTCACCCTCGCATTGTCGTGCGAGTGGGAGTGAGAGGGAGATACAAACAGACAGGCACACACACACACACGCGCACGGGGGTGCATATGTGGTATGTACACACATGTACACATATGTACTCCCGTTAAATGTCATAAATCACACGCAGCATAAAAACATCAAATAAAACTTGCGCAGGCACACAAGTATAAACATTATTTGGAAAACAGAGACTCAAACATTCGCAGCAGCGAACGGGCGAAAATCCGCTATGTTTTAATTGCCTTAATTTGAACACAAACTCCAGATGTATATATAGCCTGTATATATGTACATGCTATGTATATCTGTATCATCACATCATCCGCAAGCAGTTCTCTTGCGTCTTGGCTCTGCTTCTTGCCACTGCTTGTGCCACCAAATTGATTTTTTTCACTCGCGCTGCTTTTGTTTGCCACTCGCTTTCCCCTGGGAAAAGCGACCAAATTACCGTTGCACGCAGTTCGCGATTTTCCGCGCGCTAAGCTGTGTTTTGCATTTTTCAAGTAACCGCGATTTTCCGAACGGGCGCTCTCTGTTTTGTTTAAACAAATTGGATTTTGCGAAATGCCAGGTGTGACCAGAGGCCGAAACGGCTTTTAAACTGCATTCCCAGCCTTTTTTAATCGAGCACACCGACTGCGTGCCTCGATAACTCACAGCAATCGATACTTACTTTTGAACAACTTCCCAATAGAGTCTTTGATATATCAAAAATATGGCAACATTGCTGACAGATGGGAAATGTATTTAAAACTAAACTATTAAAGTCGAATTAAATATTTGTTCCTATCAAAGCGGTATGCTTCTATGAAAATACACGTAAAAATACCAAATACCAACGATAACCGACATCGATTGCACTGTCGATGATCCGCCAGTTAGCAAAAGCTCGCTGATACAGCACACGGTTAGCTGTCAGTTGTTCATTAAGTTCCATTTCTGCTGCGTTTTACCAAATAAAACCAAATAAATATATATCTGCAAACATTTTACGCAAAATCAAGAACTCGCTTCGCCAGCGCAAGAAGAAGAACCGCCCACGGCAGGCCACGCCCCCCGTGCGCCCCGATCCCAAGGACACTGCCGCCAAAATGGAGAGCAACTTGAACAGGATCATTCGTGAATCGGCCAAACTGAAACTCTGCGGCCAGCTCAGCAAATACACCAATGTGATGAAGGGTGAGTGTCTGTTTCGCCTTTGGAGTTGCACTCCAAGCACTCTGTCCCCCAGAATCCAATAGAACCACTTCCCTAAGCGCAGCTCCCACTTTGCAGGCTGGCAGTACCGCTGGTTCACGGTGGACGCAAAGACAGGATCGCTGAGTTACTACTTGTGCGACTCCTCGACGGTAGGCGACGACATCGCGCCCTCGCCCCACGTCCTGGCCAGTGCTCCAAGGGGCCAGGTGCAGCTGGCCGGCGCAGTGGTGTACCCCAGTGACGAGGACTCCAGGACGTTCGCCATCGCCTGCGCCTCCGGGGATACGGTGAAGCTGCGGGCCAACGATGCCAGGGCCCGGCAGGAGTGGGTGGATGGCTTGCGGGCGGTGGTCGAGAGCCACATGAAGGCGATGGACATCAGCAACTCGTCGCCGCTTCCTCCGCGCGAATTGCTCGCCGCCTCCGATGCCATGGTTTCGGCTCGCCAAGCTCTGTTTCTCACGGAACAATGGTAACTGCATACTAACTCGTAGCTAACGCGTTATTCCAAGTAGCATAGAATGTAGCACGACAAAGCCTTGAAGGCAGTTCCTCCTGCAATCTAGCGTTCTAAATCTATCCTCTGTTAAAACTAATGTTTCCCAATCGCTTCCAGCAACGCTTCTCTGGCCAGGGCCATCGAGAGCATCGACTGCGCTTCCTTCTCGCCCACGGATCCCGATCTTCTTCTGCTCAAGGCGATCTCCACGGCCAGCACGCAGTGCCTGCACCAGTGCTTGGGATTGCTGCAACGCCACCAGGAGATCAATCAGCCAGTGGCAGAGGCCGTGCCTCTGGTGCTCTGAGAGGATTGTTTCCAGTTTCCACTAAGATATACCCAATAAACACTAAGCCAAACCGCAATTGCAATCAAGATTCAAGAAAACGGCAAGAAGCAGTGAGAAGACTTTCAGGTTGGGTTACTTTTCAATGTTTTTATAAAATACTTTTGTTCGTTTCGGTTTTCCATTTTTAGGTTTTTTGTTTTCTTGGATTAATAAGAACATTCATTTCGACATTTAAAGTTAATTTGAACATAAAGTTTGCACTAAAGTTTATAGAAAATGTTGAGTTTTGGACGTGGACTTGGACGCTGATCCAGATCGTACAAAGATACACAATATCCAGCAGATTTTAGCCGCTAACTCTTGCCATTGCTTATATTACATCCTATTCCGAAAGTAATTCGTTAAGTTTCGATACGTGTGGAACATCAAAGTCTATTGGGGGACTGGGATTACATAGTTACTTATATATCGTGTGTGTTTATATACGGGCTATGGCTATGGTAGATGTTCTTGCGTATGCAAAAATAGTTGTGTTTATCATTATCGTAATTAACTCTTGTCCGATTAATCAATTGTGTGCTTGCCAAACCAAACGCTGCCGAAAGTACGCCAAAAGGGGTAAAACCAAAGATATACATTTACGTTCTCTCGATACTCAATCCTATCATAATGTCGCCAGACTTGCCAAATAAACCCTCGAGTCCTGCTGCGAGTCCTTGGCCTCGCTGTTGGCCGGGTCAGAAGTGGAGCAGAGTCCAAATTAAGGCTAGAAAAGGCACTTTAGAAGGGGATCTAGTGGGGACTTAGGGGGTTAATTCTGGGGCTTACGTCGGGTTTCCAATAATGTCAAATCAGGGGCCTCGAGGTCGGCGGGATCGCAGCAGAGCTCGATATAAAAAATGTTGCATCTAAATTTTGTCTAAAAATTTCGCTTGTGTAAATACGTTAAAAAAGTTCACGTGTTTTGTTTCTTTTCTTTTTACAAATTTTGTTTGCGGTTCATCGCTGAATTTAATTCCGAAAGGCATTTTTTGTGAATTTCTTGTTTTTATGTTAAGCCTAAACATTAAATTTAGTTGATTCCATTTGCGTTTGAAGCCGCACGCTTCGATTTTCTTTTTTCCCATTTTTAGATAATTTTGTACATTTTCCTCTCGCTTCTTGTAAATTAAAGACTAAACAAAATTCGGGCACACAATTACCAAGTTAAATCCGCTTAAACTCTTTTGATTTTCTTCACATTGCATTAATATTTAACTGCTGGGGCTTGGATCCTGCTTCTGTTTCGCTTCAAATCGAAAGTTCATTATCTGTTTCGGATGGTTTGTGGAATGTTCCGGGTTTTCTACTTCCACCTCCGCTGTAGCTTACAACTAAAGAGATCGGTCGCTATTTAGTTAGTTAGACTGATGGACTATAACATAATAATACTTTTAATTTTGATTCAGTAAGTACGCTAGGAATAGAAACTAGGTGGCGAAGATCGCGTGGAGGAAACTAGAGTAAAACTGGCACATGCTAGCCTATACCTTGGTTAACTCGCTTGCAATGTACAATTTGATATGATAAACCAAACAACGTTAAAGCTTATTTTTAAATTCGATTGAATATCAAGTGTAGGAAGTGCTCGAGGTGAAAACACAAAGATCAGAGGAAACCTTTCAAACGTATATACCGTTTAGTCTAGTTTATTTACACATAGTTATAGGGCTAATTTGAAATGTGATATAGCATGTAATTAAGAAACTCGTGTAATGCGGTTTCCTCGGGCTAAACTGAATCAATTTATTCTATGGACAGTGTCTAAAATAAATCACGGAATGCAGCTTACAGATTCCACGTATACCTTTTACAACATTTTCAAAACAATACATAATTTCAATTCATTTAATTAACCAAGGCGTAGGCCCACACAAGCCAAGTAAAGCTGCCGAAGCTTCTGATTTCAGTTCACTCATTATCATTTCTTAACTTTCACTTATCATTTCCCTCATTTCACCCTCCCTTCACTCGCTAGTGGTGGTGATGGGCTCCACTTTGATGCCGCCAGTGCTCGAGGAACTGGGTGCATCGGCGCCTGCGGCTGCGGACGATGCTCCCGCCGATCTTTCTGGAGGAGCCGTTGCTGCTGCCGCTGAGGATGAGGAAGATGAGACACTGGCGCCCACCAGCTCGGCCAGATCCTCGGCGAAGAGGCGGCTGGGCGAGAACTCGCGCTTGTAGCTGGCCATGTCCAGGCCAAGATCGCCGAGCGGCGAGTGCAGCCGAGGGGTTTCGCTGCGCAACGGACTGCTTTTGGCCTTGGGCGGAAGGTGCTGGCCCATTGAGGAGGAGGCTGAGGAACTGGAGCTGGCACCGAAACCGGACTTGTGGGCCGCCTGATGGCCACCCTGATGGTGCTGCTGCTGCTGCTGATGGTGGTGCAAGTGGGCCTGTTGCTGTTGCAGGTGCAGCTGCTGCATGTGGTGGTGCGCAGCCTGTTGCTGTTGCTGGTGGTGCAGAGCGACGGCCATGCTGGGCGGCAGATTCGGCAGGAGGCCGGCGGGCCCACAGGGCGAGGGAGCGTGCCTGGGCCCGGAGCCACTGCTCAGGGCCGGCGATATGCTGGACCTGCCTGCACCTGCTCCGGGTACGCTGCCCACTCCAGCGCCCACTCCCGGATGAGGCGGCAGATTGAATAAGCCGGGCGGAACCGCTGCCATCTGCATCTGCTGGCGGATGTTGTGGGCCACGGCGGCCACCGCGGCGGCCGTTTCCTGTGACATGTGCTGGTCTCCGGCCACGCCCACTCCAGTCTGCGGTCCACTGCCATTTGGACAGGCCATGGAGCTGGGCGTCCCTGCCAAGGCACCACTTGCTCCTGGATAGCTGAGAGGGAGGTCCTGCAAGGGAAACGCGGGCTAACCCGAGAGCAGTTAGTTCGGTTCAAGAAATCCTCTGAATGCAGTATATTTCGCAAGGCTTCGATGCTTTAAATAATCAAGAAAACTCGTGGGTAATCCTGAAGAAACTCTATGTAAGTCCTATATTAAAGGATTTTCTGATTTACACTCGACCCTTTGACATTCTTCGAGGAATAATAACTTTTAAGAAACTGCCTATAATACTAATAGGCATCTAAGCTTTTCCACTCACTAAAACTTAGTTGTTATATATTGAATTGACTATTAACTGAAATGAAACTACGGTAATTCATTCTGAGAGAAAAGTATTACAAACTGAATATTTTATAATAATTACTACAATTTAAAAAGCTATTTCGAGCAAAATAAGTATGTTTCGTAATGGAAGGGATCTGAAGCTGAAACTCCGACAGATTTCCATTTTTAAAGAAAGTGTTATTATTCAACAAGCAATGCCTATTCATTATCATTTCTTTAATTTAAAATGTAATTGTTTCCAGCAGCTGTGCAAGAGTGTGTGTAGTTTGGCAAAGTCCGCTGAGCGAATTATACTGCAGTAATTACCTACCGAATGTCGGCCGTAGGGTGGCATGTGGGCGGCCAGGCTTTCGTCCTTGATGTCCTTGGTGTCGCGAAAGACCACCGTCTTGATGACGCCCTTGATGTGCTCATCGGGCCAGATGCCCAGAAGGATTCTCTGCGGCCTGCCGCGCCCCTTGGGCCGCAAATCCGGTCCGCCGTCGATGGAGGGCCCCAGCATATTGTGCACCCGGTTGGCA